TCTGTGTGCACTATTTTATTTGGTTGTGTAAAGCCCTTTGTAACTGTTTTGAAAAGTGCTATACAATAATAATAATTAGTATTATACTACTAGGAGTAGGTAATTGAGTTGGGGGATTCAGAATAATTGTAACTCAATTATTAACAACAAGGTAATTCAAAGTGCTTTACATAAAACATAAAAGCAACAGGGAAATCTGTAAAAGTTTAAAAGCAACATAAAATATAATAAAAGTTACAGTGTTACAATCAGGGTTAAAAGAGTTAAATGGAAATATTTAATTAAAAGAAATGGTAAAAAGAAAAGTCTTCAGTCTTAATTTAAGAACTGACAGTTTCAGCAGATCTGCAGTTATCTGGGAGTTTGTTTCAAATATACGGAGCATAATAACTGAACGCTTCTTCTCCTTGTTTAGTTTTGACTCTGGGGACAGAAAGCAGACCTGCCCCAGACGACCTGAGAGGTCTGGATGGTTCGTAACGAAGCAGAAGATCGGAAATGTATTTTGGCCCTAAACCATAAACTAACAGCAGGATTTTGAAATCAATTCTTTGACATACAGGAAGCCAATGTAAAGACCTCAGAACTGGAGTGATGTGATCCACCTTTTTGGTCTTAGTGAGGACTCGAGCAGCAGTGTTGTGAATCAGCTGCAGCTGTCTGATGGATTTCTTAGGGAGCCCTGTAAGGACACTGTTACAGTAGTAGAGTCGACTGAAGATAAATGCATGGATAAGCTTTTCCAGGTCCTGCTGAGACATAAGTCCTTTAATCCTTGATATATTCTTCAGGTGATAGTAGGCTGACTTTGTAATTGTCTTAATATGGCTCCTCAAATTCAGGTCTGAGTCCATGACTACACCAAGATTTCTGACTTGATTTGTGGTTCTTAACATTACAGATTGAAGTCAAGCACTGACTTTCAATCGTTCCTCCCTGGCTCCAAAAACAATAAGTTCAGTTTTATCCTTGTTTAACTGAAGAAAATTCTGGCACATCCAATCTTTGACTTGCTCAATTCAGTTACTCAGCGCCTGTATGGGATCATAGTACCCTGGTGAAATGGTTATGTAAAGCTGTGTGTCATCTGCATAATTATGGTAACATATTTTGTTGTTTTTCATAATCTGAGCCAGTGGAAGCATGTATGTTAAACAAAAGAGGCCCCAGAATGGAGCCTTGGGGAACTCCACATGTCATTTTTGTCAGCTCAGATGTGTGATTACCTATAGACACAAAGTAGTCCCTGTCATTTAAGTAGGATTCAAACCGTTTTAGTACTGTGCCAGAAAGTCCAACCCAGTTTTCAAGTCTGTCTAGTAATATGTTGTAGTCGACCGTGTCGAATGCAGCACTGAGATCCAATAATACTAAGACTGAAATTCTGTCACTGTCAGTGTTTAAATGGATGTCATTGAAGACCTTAACAAGAGCTGTCTCGGTGCTGTGGTGTGGTCGAAAACCTGACTGGAAGACATCAAAACAGTTATTTAGTGCCAAGAAAGCACTAAGCTGTTGAAAAACAGCCTTTTCAATGATTTTACAAAAAAAATGGGAGATTTGATATGGGCCTATAATTGCTCATTAGTGAACTGTCCAGATTGCTCTTTTTTAAGAGTGGCTTAATGACTGCAGTTTTCAGGGCCTGTGGGAAAAAACCTGAGAGACATGTTGACAATTTATAGTAAATCTGAGGCCATGCATTTAGACACATTTTTGAAAAAACCTGTTGGCAGAATATCAAGGCAGCATGAGGAGGATTTCAGATGTTGTATTATGTCCTCCAGGTTTTTATGGTTAATAGAATCAAATTGTCTCATGCTATATGAATTGTTTTTAAGTGGACACAGGGACAAGACATATCCTGTTACTGACATGGAGGCAATGATTGCTTGTCTAATTGTTTGAATTTTGTCTGTGAAGAAGGAAGCAAATTCATTGCAGGCCCTGGTGGATAGAAGTTCAGAGGCTACAGACACAGGAGGGTTGGTTAGCCTGTCCACAGTAGCAAAAAGGGCAACAGCAAAAGCAAAATTGATCTCATTTGTATCCTACAGCCCCAATTGCAAGAGGCACAAAACAGAGAAATGTGAAGAGCCCCATGATATATACCAATACTAAATAAAAGAATAGTATATATAAAGTGTATACCATGAAGGAATGTCGATTATGACTTTTCTAGGCAGTTACATTGAATCTAGGCACAATTTTAGACATTTAATAACACAAGACGTGTGCTATTGGACACACCAAACTAATTTTGAACAACATTTGTGAGACTCACAAACATGGCAAAAGTTGCAACCATTTAGGTACAAAGATTTTGCTTTTTAGCAACAGTAAGACTATCATCCACAGAAGGCTGAGGGCCTTTAGGATAAAGAGATAGACAAGATCCACACAAACTGAACCATGGGGCTGTGCAATACAAGGAGAACTCTCATTAGCAATGTTTACTGCTATATACACACATACATGGCTCTAGCATCTAGTTGGATAGACAGGAACATTCACATTAGCTGCGGTTGTGCAAACCTTTTCATTTACCATTTGCCATTACTGTCAAGATCAGCTCAGATGCTTCGTCAAATATTCGGTACAAAGGAACCAGACAAATCTTTGGGATGCAACCTGAAAATTAGGACAAAATAGGACAATAATTGTAATACTGTACCACGTCATTTGTGTCTAAATCTGCCAATAGCAACATTTTACATGAACAGAACAATAGATAGAAAACAATGTCTCTGTAATCCCAAACATACCATTAAATGTGTGTCACACAGGTGTTGCCAGCATTGAGCAGGTTTTTGGTTGCCACAGTGTGTTTGGTGACCACAGTGTTTGGCAGTCATAACTGTGAAAATACAATACAAAACAAAAACAAAACAGAAAATACAAACACTTACCTGCTTCAAGATGAAAACATGCAATGTTAAAATATATTTAATGTATAACATTCAAGAAGGGATTTTATCTAAGATTGATTCATGAACAATATGTCTCAGCCTCAGTCTAATTTATTAACTTAGCTCAATTTAATTTAGCAACATGTCGCTAGCAATTATTTTAGATATTTTGCATCGACCAGCCATTCCACTAGGGACACTTCTTAATAAGATAAAGTAAGCTTGTGTGCTGTGAATAAAGAAGGAACTGAGACCAACATTAATCTTTGACACAACCTTGAATAATAGCAAAAAAATTAGCAACCCTCATTTCGAAAGAAAAACTTCAGGAGTCACAGGTTGAAAAGCTATTTCACTTTTATATGACACTAGAATGACATTTAAGAAAACAAAAAAAACACACATGCATTTTGGAGAAAGAAAACTGGGTTGGGAAGATGGAAGGGAAAAAAGTAAACATACTCTCTAACACTCTGGAATCCATGAATACATCATTCTTTCAGTGACCTTTGAATCTCAGTGACATTTTGTTCTAATACATGAATTCATAAATATAATCTTCTCTCACCATATAGTCTATCTATACGAGTTTCATACATCTAACTGTACATCTAATGCAGCATATTGCATATCTTGGATACAGGGGGGGTTGTCACTAGTCATTTCACTTATTGTCTTTACACTTGTTAAAGCACTTTGTAACTTGTTTTTGAAAAGTGCTCTACAAATAAAGATTATTATTATTATTATTATTATTATTATTATTATTTCATACTCCGACTTCCCTGTGGAAGGAAGATAATACAATTGAATGAGAATAAGGAGGGAATAAAGACAAAGTAGAGAAAGAGATAAAGACAGGGTTATTCTGTCTAATCTCAAACAACTACAGAAACATCCTACAGTGTTTTGACATTGACATCTTTGTATGATACCTGTGACTGTTTAAATGTTTTATGTATTTAGCATGTATGTGCTTTAATGTGTGGTGTATGTAACCCTTTGTGTGAGTGCATATAGGTCCACCTGAGGTCTACCTGCTCTGGATTTCAAATATTGTGACACAACTATACTATATGATGGGTTAAAACAATTTGCCAAAATATCTGACAAACAAGTGAGCAAGGTTACAAGTTACACCAATTTGGACCACATTGCCTGCCATCGTATAGGGTATTTTCTAACATCTTGCTACACTCAAGCAAACCTGAGTCAAATAATCATTTGGGTTTAATGCAGCAAACAAATACTGTGAATCCCATCTTCTGAATGCCTGGAAATCTGACCTACAGTAGCCTACACTGAACCTACCCAGCGTTTGACAATGATATGCTGGGCAACCTCAAGTGTATTATCAGCTGCTAAAGTGTATTCTCAGCCATGTAACGGCAGCAGAGGGTTAAAAGAAGTTTGATGTCATTCAGTTCGCCCTAAATATCCAGACTGGTCCCACAGAGCAGTGCGTGGAGGCTATATACATCAGTGTCTGTTCTTATGTTAAATTGGCAAAAGTGCTTCTTGATACAACTAAAATAAACAGAGTTGCACTGGGTGGACACACTAGACTGAACCAGTGACAATCACATGATGTGGCTGTACTATCAGTAGACCAAGACTGCTGGTGCCAAATGATAGCCTATTAAAGTCAAGCTAATGTTAGTCACTGGATTTATCTTCATTATTGTATTGTTGTATTCATTATTGTATTATTGGCTCTGCTGGAGTTTGATACAGAAAATACACAAATTCCCCATGTTTTCCATATGTGGGCACATGTGATCACATGTGATGAAATGTAGGAACGTAACAAGTTCTCCATTAGTTTCACATATAATCTCATAGGTTTCACAATGGAATTTACATGGGCTTCATACATTCGAAGGCAGCATCGATGATGACTTGATGCTGACTATTACCCATAAAGCAGCGTGGCTGCAGCCGCCAGAACTTTCTAAAACTGGTCAAGATGGCGTACAAACAAGCCCAATTTGTACACAAATATATGTTTTTAAAAGTTTTTAGTAATTTTCTCTCTTCGATTTTTGAAAATCTAGTGAGAACTAAACACTGAACTATAATATTAGCCCGTGACTGTAACCAACCAAGTTTGTTCAGTATGATTTCTGAGGTGTCTGTTAGCCATTTGGCTTTCAATAGCTAGTTAGCTGATGCTAGGCTAGCGTCTCTTCTGGCTGTCAGAAGACGGCGTGCTGACGCCACACGTTGCATTAAGTGCTGCCCTAGAAGGCTGTTTGAAACTAATGTAAACAGAGCTGCTTTCACTTGAAAGTGATGCCTTCTGAGGCAGCTGTCTATTATGGTATCGAGGCAGCGAGGCAACTGCCTATACTGTCACGCTAGCAGCTCTATGAGGCTATGCTTGGGCACAGCAGTACTTTGTGCGAAATGCTAATGCTAGCATAGCAACATGCTCAAAATGGTGATGTTTAGCAGGTACAAGTAATGATTACCATGTTCACCATCCTAGTTTAGCATGTTAGCATGCTAGCGTTTACTAATTAGCACTAAACCCAGAGTACAGTTGAGGCTGATGGAAATGTCATTCATTGTAGGTATTTTGTCATGAACCAAGTATTGGACAAACTGAAATGTTGACGTGATGATGGCACTGGAAGAAAACTTCACAGGCCTGTTAAGTTATTGTAATTCATGCTGAGGGGAACATGAATATCTGTGCTATTTGTGTACTAATAGTAGTAGTTGTTAAGATAATTCAATAGATAAGTGAAAACTTTGACATGCTGGTGGTGCTGTATGAAAATTCACGGGATCACCAAAGTTATTAGGGTTCATCGTCTGGGCACCATGAATATTTGTACAAAACTGCATGACAAACCATCCAATAATTGAGATATTTCAATCTGGACCAAAGTGGTGGATCAGTCAACAGACCAGATCATTTTTAGCCATCCTGTTGCTGTCATGGCTAAAAATGATTAACATAACATCATATCATCAATGACTGATATAATTATTCTCAAAATGTCCTGTAGCAGGGATAATCACTAAGTAGTTAGCATGTTGACATGAGGCACATGAAGAAAATCCTTCTTTTCTTCATTGTCTGTGAGTCAATTAGCTCTAAGTTTGCAGACTAAGATACGTACGTTAAACTATCAGATACCAACAACTGTCTGAAGCAGAGGCACTGTGTGTTATACAGAGGGAGAACTTTGAGAAAACTGGATGACATCAAACTGTCTGACTTCTTACTGTATTAATGTACAGGCTATAATGAAATGTTCAATGTTAAAATTATATTTTACTTACCCCGTGCCTTGCAAAGTATTTTTTTTTTTACTTGTAGGAATCACTCTTGCCCATTCAACATGTAGGTAGAGGCTGCTGGTGCTGAGAAAGTCTTTTGATGTGCATGGTATGATAAACTTGTTTCGATTTCTTTTGTGTTAAAATCTGTTAAATACAGCTTTAAAGTTCAAATATTTTCGTAGAAATCCAACCTACAACTTCAAAAGTCAATGGTCATTTTAGTGACACATTTAGTCTTACATGTGTATATATTAGTGACATCAGAAAAGGAATTGAAAGTAGTTGATGTACCTTCAAGTTTTTAAAAGTATGTTTGGGCCCGAGTCTGCACTCATTACATTTTAGCCCTTTCATGGTTATGTTGAAAGCACAAGAGTCCACCTGAGAGTGGCCAATGCTTCCACTAACAACCCACATATTCTCAGGAGCAGTCACATATCCATTCTTCTATTCAAAGAGGCCCTTTGTCAATTTTCAGACTAGCCAGGCTCCTTGCTTGTCTTGGTCTCCCTATCCCTTACAAATTGAGACAGATGTGTCGACATTCACACAACTTCAAGACATTGAAGTTAAAAAAGAACACAAAATATGCAATCATTTTCTGTTACCCACCAAATCTTCTTAAGAGGAAAAAAGGTTGGTTGATGCTACTGTTAGCGATGGTCATTACAAAATAAACCTGTACAAAGTGCAGTTCTTCCTCAAAAGAAGCTTCAGAGTTCTGTCCAATGCTAATGACACTGCTTTTGTCTTTCTGCAGTTTTATTTAAATAGCATCACCTTAATAATGCTCATCAATCACTGTAATTTCCGGGCCTCTCTCTAATGGCCGGCCAGATATTCTGTATGTCAGGATGACTCAAATTTAAAGCCCAGCACTGCAACATATGCCAAGGCCGAATCCTGGTTATTCTAAAAGGTTAAAAGGTTATCATTTCAAAAAGCAACCACATATACTGTGGAAAAGAAAAGACGTCCAAATTCAGGAGCAACTGTAATCTTTTGAGAAATGACTGATTCCAAGCAGATCCAATAAGGAAAGAAAGAGATCGGGTTCACGGGACATGTACTGTTTTAAAAGTCTCTTCCTGTTCTGTTCAAGGTCCAGAAATGCAAATGGTTAAAGAGTTCCACTACAGAGAGGCAACAAGTGTTTCATCTATTTCTCCTGGAACTTGAGTCTGTGGGCTGGCTGCTGCTTTTCATGCTGAAGCCTGTGATATCATTGTCTTCCTCACCTCTTGCCCTTCCCTTTGTCCAAGGGTTGGACAAGTAACCATGGGCATCTATGCCATAGAAGTGGCGTCCGTCTTTACTCCGGACAGATAGATTGGTTTGGTCTAGTGACCCTGTGCTGTTACATTTCTTAACCAGCGGGGCTGCCAGAGACCCAGGGGTCAGCAGCGACGTCAGTGAGAGGCTGTTCAGTGTTTCTGACAAGTGTTCACTGTTGAGGGTCTGGCGGCAGCCATCCCCACCCGCCCCCGTGCCCATGTCCTCATCTGAAGGGTCCATAGAGTCCTGCCGGGGGCAGCTGGGGCTGGTGCTGCCACAACCACCGCTGCTCTGGCTCCTCTGGTGCCCCCTGGTGGCTTGGAGAGTAAAGGTAGTACTGCGTCTCTTTAGTAAAGGGTGGCCCTGGTCTCCTGTGGCCGGTCCCTGGGGGTGTATGGGGTGGCTGGAAAGGGGACAGAGGAGAGGCATTGGGAGATCCAGATCTCGAGGTGGGGAGACGCTGAAGCTGAGCCCTTCCTCTAGAGTGGTCTGCAGGCTGCCATCTGAACTGCCTGTGGCCAGGGAGGAGTCACTGTGGGACAGGTGCTGCACACAGAGGAGGGAGGTGGTGAAAGAAAATAAAGGGAAGCAATCATTCTTTAATGGGCAGAAGATTATAGGTGGTTTGGACCAACAGGACATTTTAAGGATTGATTTTAGTTAATTTGTTGTTTGAAATGATTGATCCAAGCTAGAATCATTTAAAACCAGAAGTTGTGTATTAGCCTAAATACCCATAGAATACAGCATGAGAAGTGATTTTAACTGTCGTTTAAGGACCTGTACACCCTCACAGGTGTTTTCACTTAATCTGGCTGATTAAACCTCTGTTCAGGTTGATATGGGGAGAGATATGTGGTTTACAAAAATAAAAATAACAATAAAGGGTAATTCATACTTCAGTGTCGAGTCTACATTGGTGTCTGGGAAAGCTCTGCAATTACACGGCCAAAACGATAATTAGTGGTGGAGTTTCTATGTTCTGACTTCCGCCGGCCAAGCTGGCTAACTTCCAATTTAGCTCTCTGCTAACTTGAATGGGGATAAAATGATAATTATGGTGCTCTTCTAGACTTTCCAAATGTTATTGGTCCATATGGATCAAATCTAATTTATGTTTTAAAGCACCTTCTTTCACAATGTAAGTCTATTGGGAAATGTCTAGTTTGGCACTAGTAAAATAGAGATATGTAGTTCAATTTTTGGGAAGGAGCGCATCAGCCTGCATTGTAGGGTATGTGGCTACGGCGTACCTATGACATAAATTCGGGGGGGGGGCTACAATACAGGAGCATCTACAGCTTGTTTCAGACAGTGGCTGTTATGAGGGCCTGCATGAAGAATGAGAATGATAAACACGTAAGGTCCCACCTCAACAGGAGAGTGACGGGTATGCCAATCGTACATAGTCTGTCTTGCCCATATAGCATTTGTTTAACTTAAAATATTACATGGGCAGGAGGGCGTTTATTCCAAATCCTGGCACTGTGACTCCCATGCTGTCAGTATACAAGACCACATGGGAGAGAAAGAGATTACAAAAAAAGGAGAAATGGAGGATTTGGCAGAAAAAGAACCAAAGATAGAGGACAGAAAGAAGAGGCGTAGAGAGAAAGAACACCAGAGAAAGATGTAAAGAGATGAAGGAAATACAAGAAAAGGGACAGGGGAGCATGTGAAGAGCGTGAGCCAAGAACTGAGTGCACAGAGTTGGTATCAGGCTCAGGGCTGGCCAGGCTAATTAGCTGAGTGCCGCAGAGCATTACTGTAGCAGCTGAGGATCACAGAGGCACTCAGACACGAGCTAAACAAACCAAACAGGTAGAGGAGAAAGAAAGAAAAATCTGTCTCCATGGTTACACAGGAACAAGATCTAAAATAAGGGCTTTTCATTCTCGTTTGTTTTATGCAGGAGCCAACAGAGGGATGGTGTTAGATTCAATGCAAATGAGATTCTAGTTTTAATTATAACTAATACTTTCTCTGTAGTTTCACACTATAGTAGTCATGTGCATGTTCACAATTTGGTAATGCAACTATTTGTATACTGTCAGTTCTGATTATCTACTGAAGCCATTCAAATGACAGACCACACAACAAGTTGCTTTCACATCTCAACACTCTGCAGTGTTTATTTCTAATCAAATTAACTGTTGCCACGTTTTGCCAAAATGATGTTGCAGCTCAGTTACTGCAGACATACTGTAATCAAAACATTTTCACATTATGGCACGTTACAGTATCAGGTTCCCAGATCACCATATCTGTGCTCACAAACTCATTTTACACTATAGCTCATTTGGCAAATCCCATCTGACTGCTTGAAGTGTTTTTGATGCATGACAACTTCGGTTCACTGAACGTTCTCCTAGGAATTAAGTGTTTACATCATGTGTGATGTGTTGCACAGAGATACTGATGTCAGGTTCTTATTTGTCTATCCATCCATCCAGACACACTTGAATCCATTCATCTGTTCATAATACCTGAGAGCTCAGGGGCCTGCTGTTGGCTCCGGGTGAGCGGAGGGAGGCCCAGGAGGCTGGGGAGGCCAACCTGGATGGCCCTCTGTCTCCTGGGCTAACACCGTTCCCAGGACTGCCTGGATGAGCAGCAACAGCAGGATGGAAGAAGTCTGCTGGTAGGTGGAAGATAGGTGAAGATCCACCACCAACTCCACTGCAACTTTTTCCATCTCCATCTGAAAAAAGAAGGTTTTATACAGCTTTGTCAGTGCTGTTCATATTTTTGTTTATTTTAGTGTATTTCATTGTTTACATTTTCCTTCTCTTATCAGGGTGGAGAGGCCCCAGACAATGTTTAGCATTCAGACAACCATTAGACTTCTGACACTATCATCTAAAACCCATGACACACACACACACACACACCTCAGTGCAAGGTGATCTAACACACTTACTCAACAGTATCATGATGTCTTTATAGAAAGGCTAGAAACATGGGTTGGGCTCTCTTGGGTACTGGACTGGATCTAACATGTTGAGACTACTTGCTTCCAATAAATATTTCTTGTAGTGTACCTCAATGTTGAGTGCCGAACCTCATTATTTTCTATCTGATACACTGTAGATCAGAGGTCACTAATAGGCGGACCGCGGACCGGATCCGGACCCAGCCGCCGTCCTCTCCGGACCGCCAACCTACAGCCCATTTATTATTGAGACTTACTACCTCGTGACGGAGCGTTTCTATTTGAACCCGCGCAGCTTTTCTAGCATTTACTGTACTGGTTTAGAGGACCAGGAAACTCACAGACCAATCGCATGTGCTCCAATTGTCTCATGTGACGCTGCTCAGCCAATCAAATCTGTGCATACCGATGCTTGCGAGTTGAGTCCGCGAGATTCACCAGAGACGTTTTGGAAACACACCCGAATTGAGGAGACGAAAGATAAAAGAGATTTCACATGACTTTTAATCAAGAATGTACAGATTTTTACATGTACATTCCTCCCACGGGCAGTTCAAAACCAGAATATCTCATAGATCTCCAATATGCTAGCTGGAGCTCACGTTTCTCACTGAACAACAGAAAGTAGGAAAGTGGTAGCTCTGTAAGAGGAAATGAAAGAGACCTTTGCTTCAGGAAATTTTCTCTAACTAGACCTCTTTGAAATCTAATTGAATACCCCTGCTGTAGATGATTAGGTTAATCTGCAAACATGAAATTGGTTTTCATCGCTATGCAGATGACACACAACTATATATCTCTGCTTCACCTGATGATGCCTTGTCAGCAGAAAATAGTTAGTGGATGGCTTAAAATGTTCTTCAGTTAAATAAGGACAAAATAGAAAATTTGGTAACCAGTGTGCAAGCAAAAGGAAGACTTAAATTCTTAGCCACAGATGTTGAGGAAATTTGCAGTGTGGGTAATCTTTGAGAAGAATGATAAATTTGAAGCACACATTCGGAACATCACAAAAGTTGCCTTTTACCACTTAAAAACATATAAGCCAAGGTAACACAATTTTTTCTTGCAGGGCAACTGGGAAAACCCCCCATTAATGTTTCTATTTACAGTCATCACACTTAAGCCTTGATTATACTTGGTAGCGGAAGCGGACAACTGCGAAGCCCGTGGACGCGGACTGCTTCTGTTTATACTACATTCTGGGATCCGCTTGGCAGACGCGTTCCACACATGCCTTTGGCCGATTTCCTTCCACAAGTTGTAGAGCATTTGACTGTCTATACTATTTTAAAGACTTGTTAACAAATTGTAGAGGTGCGGGTAGCGACGAACCTCATCACACAGCCTCTCTTCAAATTCAGCGTCCATTTTTCTTTTTTGCCAGCGCAGTTGGTGGTTTTGTATCGTACTCCCTGCAGAGGCACGGGGACGTCTGCACGGACCCTACACGTACCCCCTCTGATGACGATTTTTTTCGTCACATGGACCCTAGCGGACCCTCGCGGACGCAGAAAGTATAATCGTTGCCTTACTGTAATGCCCTGTTAACAGGCCTTCTGAGGAACCTACAACTTCAATGCAGCCAGGATCCTCACCAAAGATATACTAAGTGCACATATCACCCCATCCTAAAATCTCTCCACTGGCAGCTTGTAAGCTACAGAACTGATATGCTTCTCATTGTTTTCAAATCACTTCACTGCCTCGCTCCAGACTACATTATTTACCTCCTCACAGTTTATGTTTATGACAGATCAGAGTGTTCTGCTGACTCTTTTGCATTAAAGCTTTTATCATTTTTTAGTAATCTGTCTGCATGACTTGCATACTGACCTCTCTGACAGCAGATGTATGAAGTATGATCTACTTATACTTGGGGGGTCTGAGTACACAGGCATGTATCACACATGCACATTAGAAAACAAGATGGTGACCTCCTGACAGCAAGAAGAAGAGCTGTTTTGGTTGTTGTTGATTTGGCTGAACAACACGAAAAAGTCAAATAAAGGAAAGTGTGTGTGCAATGTTTAACGAGGATACATTGCATACATACAGCACATAAAACAAGCGTCCAGTTTGTCTGTGAAGATCCTCAATCAACCAGGTCATAGTTATCCAAGGAAGGTTAAAATCAAGGGCACTTGAACGTGGTTCAAGATACTTTTTACGTTTTACCTCTCATCCATTCGGTTAGGGTTAAACATTTTGCTTTGAATAAGACTGCCAGCATTTGAGAATATAATACAAAATTAATGATTTGAATATCAAAAGAAAAATATCTATCACTCGTAGGTGACAAATTAAAAGAGCTAGCATAACCTGAATTTAGCGTATTTTAGAAACATAAAATGGTAAGCTTTAGAGAAAGTATTTAATTCCCCAAACTGATAGCATTTAGTAAATGTAATAATCAAACGAAAGTTGATCTTTTATATGGGTCTCTGAGATAAGAGTAAAGTAATATATATATTTTTTTGTTGTTGACAGTAATCATACTGTAATCATACTATGTAAACATTTCCTGCATGTCTACAATGACATTGTGTCTACAACAGTCTGTGATGTTGTGTGCTGTTGAATTGAAGTGAATTTCCATGCATTCCAGTAAGGACGGTCATGTTACGGGCGGGTGGTGAGCCATCAGCATAACATAACATGTCATTTATCAACATCTCTGTCTCTGAGCACACAGGTCTCGTTTATCACTGCTTTAATTGCAGTGGAAATCAATCAACTGTGTGGAATATGAGACATGTCCTCTTATTTGAACGATACTATCAATGTCACATCAAAGTCATGGCTTAATGAAATCGTAGTGGTTAAAGAACAGTGAGAGTCACAAAGAACACTGATAGGGACAATAAGGAACGCTGATGAAAGGTATCCCTGAGAGGGATTATTTTAATATGATTGGGTAGTGTGAAAGATTCAACTGAACAATTTTGCTGCTCTTGGATGAAAAATGGCAAGTTTTACTTAAAGGCAAAATACTACATATACATATTTACAGTTTTAATATTTAAATTACATACTGAGAAACTTTACTGTTGTCACTCAACAATAACCTAACAATTGATTTACATTGACTTTACTGCACACATTATTGTATTAAAATTTTGTTTAACCTTAAAGAGTTGTGTTATATTAAACCTTTTCTTGATTTCTTGTAAAGAAACACATTTGTAAGTCCTTATCAGGTCGCACTGAGTCTCCTTGAGGTGTTGAATGTTTCCTTCCTCATAAAAAAAAAAGTCGATTTTCTGAAAGTATTTTTAAGTTATGAGGTAGTTCTATTAATAATTTGATTTATAAATAAATAAAATTATAAATAAATAATAAATAATAAATTTATAATTTGAGCTCTTTGAGCTAGAGTCCAAGTCAAGTCTCAAGTCTTTGAGCTAGAGTCCAAGTCAAGTCTCAAGTCTCAATGTTGTATCCCCTGCTGCGTTCAATCCAGGTTTTTTATGAAACTGCATAGCTATAAGGAATTCTGTTACTGTAACTGTAAATGTAGTTTTTCATTTACAGAGCACAACCATGTAATGTGCAATGCAATTATTGACGTCTTATTAAATACTGTAAGTCAACAGACTCCCCAGACTCACTCCCCAGTGTAACATTAACTAAATAAAACTGTGACGTTGCATAATCAACAATAAACCTGTAACCTGTTTTTAACTTACAGAACACAACCATATAGCCTAATGTACAATGCGTCTACAATTAATGACAATGACAACTACTGTAAGTCAACAAACCCTGTTGATTTTCAAACCCAGTGTAAAGTTAACTAAATAAATCTGTAAAGTCACATGGTCAACAATAAACCTGTAACCTCTTTCCAGCCAACGGTAATAATTGATGGCAGCCAGCGGGACGTAAAGGATTATGTTAATTGATTACCACAAGTTTGGCAAGTAAACAAACGCTCATTCATCATTTCTTAATGATTTCTTAATTCATTTCTTAATGAAGGACAGTTCATGTTTACTCACCACATGTTACTAACGTATTTGCGTTCAGCGCGTCTTTGTTTGGGTCTTGTTGTATGAAGTTTTAAAGCCAAAGTTTATGATAAAAGGCACAGAAGCTGCCGGTGTTTGTTGTCCTCTCTCACGTGTGGCCGCGCGCAGCTGATACTACATGTTACGTAGGCAGGTTATAGGTAACAGAGCTCCCTCTGGAATAACAGCAAGGTCATCAGACGTTTCCTAAAAAATAAACATTGTTCACGAGTCCCGCACCGCGAGTCCAAATCGAGTCTGAAGTCACTGTGTGTGTGACTTAAAACTCCAGTCCCCATCTCTCGCTGCAAAACAGGGCTATAACGTAATCCTTGCATTCACTACAGTGCTTGTTTTTGTTGCAACTGACAGGCTCAGATTGTTATAATAAATGTCTGACAAAATTATGGAAATAATTCCTACAGATCATTTTTGTTTAACCATAAACAGTTGCTATATCACTCTCTTCAAATCCACCAGACAAAAAGGATCTTACTCTTTAAAAAAGGGTCTTTGACGGGCGCAATTGCAAGCAAGGATTGCATTGCAGCGCTGTTTCGCGGCTGTTGACTGCAGTGTGCTCGCTCAATACTGGAACAGTTTCAAAAAAATGTTGTCCCTATTTGTCACAGAGACACAGAAACATGGGAAAATATGGCCCGGATTTAAAAATACAGAATTTTTCCTTGAAGTCTGGTGGTATGACAGCGGATACTTCTGAATAGTTGCCCTGCCACTTTCAGTCACATCAGTCAAATAGCAATTTAATAAAACTTTTTTTTTTTTTTTACTATTTTTTATAGTTTATATTCAGTTTGGTGTATAGTAATGTTCTTATACTGTCACAACAGTTTTGGAGGACTTTGGTGAAAGAATGTGCATAAAAAAGCACTGAAGCAAAGCAAAATTCTCACATATATAGTTTAGGAATACCATGGAAATCTACCTTTTTTGTCATTTAGGGTAAGAACTTGGTGATTTCAGGACCTGCCACTCAGATTCATTCACTCTGAATGACAGTACTAACTAAAGATACTACAGAAATACAGCTACTGTATAGTATCTGTACTACCATCATATTCTGGTACCTGTGCAATGTGCCGGGATTGGCTGCTCCAGTGAGGGAGATTTCAACTGGGGATGGACGCCCACCTCAAACAACTCCTGGACCTGCTCCTTGCTTCCTGAGCTGAAGGGACAAAGTCCTTTGTAGTCCCCCTGGGTGGGCAACTCTTCCGACCCATGGGAGTCACTGCTGCCCCTCTGAGAGCGTGATGTGTAATGGGAAAAGGAAGAGAGAAATTGAAGATAAGAGGAGCGAATGTAAGAGAAAGAGAAATGCAGAGAATAAGCATAATATCCAGGTGCACTGAAGTTCACTGGAGCAAGATATCAAACTGAAGCTTTTCATTTCCCCTTGTCATAATGGAAATCTAAGTACAATTTGCTAACAATTTCAAAGAGCTCTCTTTTCATATCCCTTCCATTATCCATCTATACAAGTCTTATTAAAACTGGATGTGGTAAAAAGAAAGTAACGGAAGGCTTCAAAGCTTCAAATTGCTCAGCTCTTGTTGTTGGTTGTAAACAGGATCAAATGAACTGGTCTTCAATGACATACTGATGAAACAGGCCAGGTGGAACCGCTGTAAGTTGGGAGCGAAATGTTAACGGGAAGATGGATATATGAAAGACACACACACACAAACACACACGTATCCTAGAATGCCCATTATCAAGAGCAGAGGGGGAGACAGGTTTTTTAAATCTTAAGTAAAGCATATAAATAGTAATTAATGATGATTATCATGATTGAAGGGGTGTAATGACATGTTCTGTGACTCCCCAAAGCCCCAAAGATGTACGTAGTAGATCACACGTAGAAGTACGTGTGTGTGTGTGTGTGTGTGTGTGTGTGTGTGTGTGTGTGTGTTGCAGTCTTACACCCTTACTTCCCTGCGCTTCCATTTCAGCATTTACCGAGCCAAAACCTGATGGTGTCTGTCCCCTGACCATTTAAATTATTTAAATCAAAGGTAAACAGAATAGGAGTTGTACATAAAGACCTAATAAAAATTTAAACTAAGAGTGCAATAGTGCAAAAAATAGGAGAATTGTGGACTCTTAAACATCAGATCTCTCTCATCTAAAGGCGTACTAGTAAATTAATTAATAACAGATTATAATATTGATTTATTTTGTCTTAATGAGACCTGGCTGAGTGATAAAGATCAGGCTATGTTAGCTAAATGAATCCACTCCCCCCAGTCACATTAATACTCACATTCCTCGAGGCAGACACCATCTCCATATTTAAGAGTAGGCTTAAGACTTTTCTGTTTGATAAAGCTTATAGTTAGGGCTGGCTCAGGTGAGTCCTGAACCATCCCTTAGTTATGCTGCTATAGGCCTAGACTTCCCATGATGCACTGAACTCCTCTCTCCTCCTCTTCTCTCCATCTGTATGCAGCTTCATCCCATTAAAACATGTTAATAACTCGACATCTGCTTTCTCATCCCTCTCCTCTCTCCTCCTATAACTTTCTGCAGGTGTTTCTGGCTCTGGAGCTGTGGAGTCTGGATCTGTGGTTGCGAGTCGCCTACTGCTACCATGTTCTTGCTTGACACCCTTTGCTTCAATTGTTATTACTAGTCCTATTCTTATTCTTATTATCAGGCATGCAAACTGGTCAGGGGTAAAAAAGGTGAGGAGGATATGCAAAAGACAAACACACAGACAGTGTAAAAGGGGTCTGTTTTAAGCTTACATATTCTATAGATAACTGACTTTGTGTTGAAAATTAGTGGGGACATAAGGGCTCAGATAGGGATGTGAAGATCCAGTTAGCTCACAAGACGCGGTGATGCACCATATTGGTGTCACGATAACAAGATGTGATGATATTTTAACACTATTTTATAAAAATTGTCAGTGCTGAAATATAAGTTGAGGGGTCTGGGGGAAACTTTGGAGCATTACACACTTAATTCCCTGCATTATGGTCATTTTCTGCACCAATTTCTGCCTTTCCTGTATCAATTTAAGGTGGAAATGTTTTTATTTATCTAAAGGGAAACAAAAAATTCAGGTGGCAGTTGAAAATTTAAAATCTAAAAATATTATAGAATATAATGCAGTATGGCTCTCGTTCTATGTTGCTTTCAGAAAGGTTTCTCCTGTGCAAATGAGTGCAAAGTACAAATAAACCTTTCTCAAAGCACTTTCATTTGTTATTTATTTGTTATTTATTGTTGCAAGGTCTTTTTTAAAGCATTTTTTACAAATGCTTGCAAAAACAGAGATGGGGACATGTCCCCAACATCCCCAGTGTAAACAACACAGATGCTGACACGTTTCATCCTGTTGACAATAAAGTTTAAACTACATTCCATCCAGGTTGCTGCCAATGGTCTCCATAAATGAATAATTAGCTTAGCTAACATTATTGGGCGTTGTTATAAAATTGGCAACATGACTATATCAGACAGCACAGTTAAAATTGTAAGCTAGCTTACTTCTGTGTTACATCAGGCTTGCTTTCCGACAGACAGTTCATTTGGCAGTCTTTTACCGTCCTAACGTGTTCAGCTGTCGGACTCCGCTATGTAGCGGACTTAATGATAATAATAAAAATAATAATAATACATTTTATTTGATGGCGCCTTTCATGGAACTCAACGTCAGCTATTTGATCCCCTGCTGATTTTGTACGTTTGCCATCTGATAAAGAAATGATCAGTCTATAATTTTAATGGTAGGTTTATATGAACAGTGAGAGAAAGAATAACAACAAAAAAAAAAATATATAATATAATAAATTGATTTGCTTTTTAATGAGTGAAATCAGTATTTGACCCCTCTGCAAAACATGACTTAGTACTTGGTGGCAAAACCATTGTTGGCAATCACAGAGGTCAGACATTTTGTAGTTGGCCACCAGGTTTGCACACTTCTCAAGAGGGATTTTGTCCCACTCCTCTTTGCAGATCTTCTCCAAATCATTAAGGTTTTGAAGCTGATGTTTGGCAACTCGAACCTTCAGCTTCCTCCACAAATTTTCAATGGGATTTTAGCAAATCTACTTTACTTTTAATACAAATTATGTATTGTAATTATATCAAAATATACCACCTAAAGATTTGCTGTCCGCCCAAGGCTTTAGGAACCTTAAGTATGGCTTAATAATTATACAATTATTTCCTAGTGATCAGTTTAGTAGTAATTGTTTAATTATCTTGAATCAGTCTAATCAATCAGTCAATCTCATATCGAAAGCGTAAATCCTCCGTTACAGTGACCTGGACTCAAACAATACACACACACAGTTCCTGTGATTAGAGTGAAATTTATTAACCTTACTAACTAAAGGTGGATATAAAGTGGCTTTAAATATATCAAAGACATACAACAATAATGATTAAACAAACAGGATGCAATCAATGAAAATTATGGAGTTAAATGTGGATTTAGTGGTCTATTGTGGAAAAGATTTGAGTCTAAGAAGGCGAACCAATAAACGCAAGTTATGGTAATAACTAAGTTAAATTTGGCTAGGATTAAATTAACAGATTAAAGGACTATTGGACATCAGCCAGTTGGGCTTGTTGGGCTTGTTACTTGTGCATTGATGTTGATGATTGCGTGGCATTTGGGTGTTTTGGTTGTTCGCTGCGCGATGGTGGAGTGCTGGGTGGGGGGGGCACTGGTCTATGTTGTGTGTGTGTGTCGCGGTCGGTCCGCGCTGCTCTTCTGCGGGTTACGCCTCTTGCGTTCCGTCAGCATTGCGTTGTCAACTGGCATTTGGATGGTCGTTCTTTTTTGGGCGTTGGTTGGGTCGGTGTCTTCCGCATTTGCATCGCGGTGCATCTGGGAGTCAGATTTTTATTAATTTATTAATTTTTATTTATTTATTAATTTTTTTTCTTTTTATTGGCTACTGGGGCTCTTGCTTTCCTGTTGCTGGGGTCAGTTTGGCACAGTCGTGGCGTCCCACTCTCACTAACAACAGGCTTATGCGCATGCACATGTACACACACACATACAGACACATTCACCCACACGCACACAGACACACACAGTCTCACACATAGACACAAACAAATTTAGGTTGTCCCTGGTAGAATTATTCCTGATGCTTTTCTTTCAGTTACTTATTTAAATTAATTGTTATTATTCCAGCTCTCGTGGCTGTGCTGTGTTGCTTATTTAGTGTGCGTGACTGTTTCTTGTTTTCATTTTTCTCTTGTCTTACTATGTCAGCTGTTTATTGCTGCTGTTCGGCTGGTTGTCTTTTACTATTATTATTATTTTTATTGTTTGTTTGTTGTTGTTGTTTTTTCCTCCCCAAGCCCCCCTCTCTCTCTATTGCAGGTTTTGTTGCTTTCTGCAATTGGTGTTTCCCTCTCCTATTCCCTATACAATGTCCCTACCTTCCATCCCCGTTCTCTTCTCTGTCTGTTTGTGCCCCCCCCATCCCCACGTCTGCCCCCCTGTCCGGCCCGGTGACAAATCAATACATAATTAAATAAATAATAAAACAGACAAAGGAGTATATTAATACTCTCTTGTTAAAGTTAAATCTGTCTGGCACAATATGGTATCCAGCTCATCATATTCTATACCAGGCTGCTGGGCAGGACAGGTTTAAAAAAGAAAGGAAAAAAAAAAAGAAAAAGGAAAGGGGTTCTTTGATTTTTGGAGTAATTAGAAGGGGGGGGGGGGGCATGGTTACTATTCGGCAGCATTCCTCCTTCTCCAAACAGTTGAGTTGAGTTGATGCCAAATAACTCGATTTTGGTCTCATCTGACCACAACACTTTCACCCACATCTTCAGATATTCATTTGCAAACTTCAGACGGGCCTGTACATGTGCTTTCTTGAGCAGGGGGACCTGGCGGGCACTGTAGGATTTCAGTCCTTCACGGCATATTGTGTTATGATTGTTTTCTTGGTGACTATGGTCCCAGCTGCCTTGAGATCATTGACAAGATCCCCCTGTGTAGTTCTGGACTGATTCCTCACTGTTCTCATGATCATTGCAACTCCACGAGGTGAGATCTTGCATGGAGCCCCAGACCAAGGGAGATTGACAGTTGTTTTGAGTTTCTTCCATTTGCAAATAATCGCACCAACTGTTGTCAACTTCTCACCAAACTGCTTGGCGATGGTCTTGTAGCCCATTTCAGCCTTGTGTAGGTCTACAATCTTGTCCCTGACATCCTTGGAGAGCTCTTTGGTCTTGGCCATGGTGAAGAGTTTGGAATCTGATTAATTGATTGCTTCTGTGGAGGGGTGTCTTTTATAGAGGTAACAAACGTGATCTCAGCTCGTTGCCTGTATAAAAGACACTTGGGGGGGGGCAGAAATCTTTTTGATTGAGAGGGGGTCAAATACTTATTTCACTTATTAAAATGCAAATCAATTTATAACATTTAAAACATGCATTTTTCAGATTTTTGTTTTGTTATTCTGTCTGTCACTGTTCAAATAAACCTACCATTAAAATTACAGACTGATAATTTCTTTGTCAGTGGGTAAACGTACAAAATCAGCAGCGTGTCAAATAATTTTTTCCCCTAACTGTACATCCTAAAATACGACAAGCAGCAGCAGTACATAGCATCATAAAAACAGCATAAAAACGAAAGTTAAAAAAAATTTTAAACATCAACATTCAAATGGGAATCAGTGTAGTACTTTATTACAGTGAGTATGCTAATTTATATATGAGTTTTGACCGTAGTTTTGAATTTTGTAATAGAGTCCAGTGAATGGATGTTGAGGGGAGAGAGTTCCAGAGTTTGGGTGAAGCATAGGAGAAGGCCCTAGCACCCATTGTACTGAGGTTAATTGTTGGTAGTGCCAAAAGACTTGTTGTGGAAAACTTCAAGGAACGAGATGGAGTGTAGGTCTGAATGAGGTCAGTCAGATAAGTAGGAGACAGATTGTGTAGGGCTTTGAATGTTAGTAATGATATTTTAAAGTTAATCCTTTGTGATACACGGAGATAGCGTAGTTGAATCAGCAGAGGAGTGACATGTTCTGTGGACTTGGAGCATGTTATCATCCTCGCTGCACCATTTTGGATGAAATGCAGTCGGTGAATAAGTTTGTTAGGAATGCCTACTAAAACTGCATTGCAGTAATCATTGTGTGATGTGACCAAGGCATTTACTAGGACTTCCGCTGAGTGTTGAGTTAGAGCAGGGCGTAGTCTGGAGATGTTTTGTATGTGGAAAAAGGCGTGGATACGTTATTGATATGGCTGGAGTAAGAGAGGGTACTGTCCAATATAACACAAAGGCTCTTAACCTGCGTGGGGACAGGTATGGCGTAGTGTGCTGATGTTGGTTTTTGACAAAGTAGATTTTGAACCAAGGAGCAGTAGCTCAGTCTTTCTATTGTTGAGTTGTAGGTAATTACTTGTCATCCATGTCTGTATGTTGTGTAGACAGGCAATGGGTGTACTGGAGGGGAGTGTGTAGCCGGGATTTGTGGACAGATAAAGCTGTGTATCGTCAGTGTAACAGTGAAAATAGATGTTGTAGCACCGGAGAGATGTTGCCAAAAGGGAGGGGGTAGATGATAAATAATAGTGGTCCTAGCACTGATAACGTTTTGTAACTGCTCTTATAAACAGGCTACATGTGCAGAAAAACAGTAGTTCAAAAGGCTGGATAATATTCAGTCCAGCTCACTAACCGTTTCATTATCATCCTATACATTTAGCTGTGCTGACATTGCTGAGCCTCTGATGAAAGATACACAAATAGTAACGTTAGCTACTGAAAAGCAGGCAGGTGAGCTCACGCTGACTAAATGCAGTCAACGTAACGTTATCATGTAACGAGCATGGATTACTTCAACTTCAAGCTGATAAAATTCAAGCACACGCATAAGCACACACCTGGTTGAAATCTAAAAACTGCACCACAAGTGGCCACTGAAAACTATATATAGCCCCTTTAAGTCAATAAATTATCATTTTTCACAAAGCCCCAATTATGTTGATGTGTGTTTGTGTGGTCATGCAAGCATACATGTTGTCACAAGGCATGTGTAAGTAAGAGTAAGATCCGCAAGTGTGAAATGACACAGAATTTAAGTTTTTGTGTGTGTATGAGTACCTCACTGTCTCTTGCCAGCAGCTGGTAGCTGCTGTGTTCATCCAGGCTGAGGTCATCAGGCAGTGCCAGAGACGATGACTTGTCTGACAGCTGCTCTGACATCAGAGATGCCTGCTCCACCTCTGCCAATCGGATCTGTCAGACACACACAGTAACAAGTCAAGTTGCATCTACAGTATAATTTATCAACAGATAGTGATGTCATCACACCTTGCTACTGAATCATAATGAAATTGGCGATGATGTCCAAACAAAAAAAAGATGCACGTGATTAGATTAAGTTAGTTTAGCTATTGGGGGAAAACATTTCAAATTATTAATTTCACAAAGTGATTGATATCAAAATGAGTTTTACATACGGCAACATGAACAGACATGATAAATCAGACAAAAAATCTGTAGGAAAACACAAATTTACCAAAAATTGCTGGTATGAAAATGTCATGTGTGAAAAAGATGTTTTTTTTCACATGCTTTTTTTTTCTTCACAAATCTGTTAAATCATGAATGTTACTCCCATTGAAATCAACCAACGCTAATTACGGAACATAGGAAACAAATACGTATAAATTAATATAGATTAAACAGAGTGGTTTGAAGAAATATTCTAAAATTGCCCACATTGTCACCAGAAGATCAAATAAATATTGAGGGTTTAGGGAAAAGGAGAAAGAAAAGAGAAGAAAAGAGAAGAAAGGAGAAGAGATGAGTGGAGAATAAACTTAAAAATATACTGTAAGAAATGCCGGCCACTTTACATTATAGCATATTTGCATTCCAGCCAACAACCATGCATGTCAATACCTTTTATTTGAGAACAGTAAATATCCTGCTATAGGGGTCTTGGGTGAAGCAGTGATTGTATGTAGATAGTAATATGATGCCAGAAGCACAAGCACTACCCACATAGGCCACACTTCTTCAGATGCATCATGATAGCTAAAACACATCGACAGTGACTCATATGACACACACACTACAACCACACAGCTACATATTGAAGTATGCAATCTGCACATTTATCACTTTGAAATAATGAAATCACCTCTGCTCTGCGCTGAAATTGGTTTTAGTTAAAATGTGTGACTAATGTTTTCACGTGTCTGTGTGCGTCATGAGTGAATGCACCTGGTGAGCAACCAGGTTTAGAGTGTAAATCATTTGGTGCTGAAATGTATAGTTGAACCTTTGAGAGAGAAATTGCATGGTTGTGTTAGGCAGAGAAAATGTCAGAACATTCTAACCAGCTACAGAAATTAATATGGAGCGAAGTTTTTACAGCTAAGCTGTTCAATATTGAATCTAGCTATTTCTATATTTATCCCAAATAAAAAGCTGGATATTACCTTTATCTGATTTTATTTGGAATTAAATGAAATTGTGCAAAACAGGATGATCATATAAAAATCATGAAGCCTTCCTCTTTCAGTAACATTGAGGGATACAATTTTTATTTCATCAGCCAGTCCTCGGAATCCTTAACTCAATACTGTCATGACTGAAAGGTTTGTGTATCATGGTAACACACAAATTTCACAGAAAAGAAGGGTTGTGTCTTTTGAATATAATGGCTTTATGTCTGGGGATAGATACGCAAATATATAAATAGATTTCACACACTGTTGCTTTAAGGTTTGGTGCAGCTCCACACATTCATGAGATTTAATCATGTGAGAATCTACGCACTCAGACACAAGGCTATACCACATCACGTGGCTGATGTGATATGGTATAGCCACATATATTATGGGATACATACAAACATTTCTTTCTACCTCTCTGTATTTCACAAAGAAACACACTGGCTTGGTTTATTTCAACAGACATAGTTTGTGTAGAGACTCTAGAGCACTGGTGTTTATTTTGGAGTGTAAAACCTGCTTCTTTCGGAGTACATAAGCTTGTCACTGGGGCAGTATCCTATACTATACAAGTACATTAGTGTACCCTTTATCTTAGTCATTTTACCTGTACCTCAAAAGTACAATTATGTACCCAAGTTTACAAAAATATGGTATTTGTTTCAGTTTTTCAGCTCCTGATGCATAAGGAAATACAGTGCTCATTGGTAGAACAAAACCTTTATTAACACCACTACATGAGTAAAAAGAATAACTTTCTAGGTAGAATGAAAAAGAGAGAATTTATGATGTGCAAGTGTGTGTATGCGGGTACGACCCCACTAACCTCTTGTGGGTGGCCCTTACAATCCTTGCACACAGGAGGAGAGCAATAGTGGTGAAAAACCGACCCGGAGAGGTTGTCAATCATGTCCCCTTCCAAGGAGTCCTTAATCAGCAGAGACACACTGTCCAGCCACTGGCTCTCCTGCAACACACACACACACACACACACACACACACACACATAGTGTATTGAGACTTTGGTCTGTTTGTGCAAATAAGTGAATTTCCAAATATGTTGAACTATTCCCTTAAATTATCAACACTGTTGTCACTCTACATACTAAATGGAACTTTAAAAAATTTATTTTGAAATCAACAAATTTAAATTATGATAACATGTTAATTTGTGTCTTAGATGGCTGCTGCAATGGGATGCCGACATCAGTCTATCTGTCTGTCAATCTGTCTGTCAGTGGGTCAGTGTGTCTTCTATTGTCAGGTTTTCTGCTGAGGCTTTATCACTTCTTCGAACTCAAAGACTGTTTCTCACATTGTCAATCTGTCACACTCTATGCAGATTAATTCTTTCCTTTGACTTCAATATCTAGCTTTTTCTTGTGCTTGAAATCTCCCATACTCCTGTTTCTCCCTTCATATTACTCTCTCTTCCCAACGTCTTTGTACAACATCTGGAAAACTAAACTTTGTGTTGTTTAATTAACTGCAATCTGTTAGAGCTGATGTTTATTTCGTCTGCTGTAGGCAGGTACAAGACAGATATCGATGACTTTTGCCTGCTTTAAGCTTAGGGGCAGAGGAATGTCAATGTCTTCAGATTAATTGCATGATCCTTAAAATAAATCTACACTGCTCTACTTAAGGCAAACTGCATTGAGGAGACCAGATTAAGAAGTCTTAATTAAGTGTGGAATTTAGGCAATAAATGAAGAACAGTTTAACTGTTGAAAGACTTTTTCTCATTGCCCGCAAGCAGATATTAAGTTATGATTTAGCAAACAAATCAAGTTAGGAGATAATTCTTTGATGTTTCATAATTTATTGCTTATTAAATACAGGTGTGTTCACTTCTTCACGTTTACCTGAGGAATCATCTGTGGTTAAAACATTACATCAGTCACATCCACATAAAATAAAAGTAGTTTGTCTTTTTGTTTATGCATAATTTGGTCATCATCAGGCTACACTAACTAGTTAAATGCAGACTGCTTGTACACTGTTAGCTTGAATATTTACATTAAGGCAAAAAGCAGGAGGAGTTTTTAAGAATGATATACATATATTAGCATTAACACTGCTGTATGTCAAGTCAAAAATGTATTCAAAGTATAAAATCACCAGCTGTGTGGTCCCAGTACACTTTACAGAAAACACAAAGATTGCAGAACTGGATAAAATGACTGAGAACACATAACAAGATACACACATTAAAAAAACAACAATAAAATACACAATTATAAAACAACAAGAAATAAACTTAAAAATTAAAAATTTTATAAAATTCATAAAATACCCTAGCCCTAACTAGAAGCCTTCTCACAAAATAAATAAAAAACATCCCTAACTAAAATATTTACTAAAAATAATTTTTTTTAGCCTACTCTTAAATATGGAAAAGTTGGTTGCTTCCCGAACCCAAACAGGGGTCTGATTCCACAGGTGTCTGATGGCTGAAGGCTCTGGCTCCCATTCGTGTAGAGAACCTAGGCACTACAAGTAGCCCTGCATTTTGGGAGTGCAGTGTTCTAGTGGGGCAGTAGTCGGTCCTTGTAGTTTGCTTGTGTATCAATAATAACTCCCAGATTCCTCACGGTGGTGCTGGAGGCCACAGCAATGCCATCCAAAGCAACTATGTCTCAACTATGACAATGTGTCTCGGAGGTGTTTGCGTCCAAGTTCTACAACCTTAGTTTTTTCTATGTTCAACATCAAGAAATTAAAAGACATCCTGGTCTTCTCATCCGTAATACACACTTGAAGCCTAGCTAACTGGTTGGTTTTGTCAGGTCTGATAGAAAGGTATAACTGAGTGTCATCAGCATAACAATGGAAATTTATACTATGGTTCCTAATGATGTTAACAAGCAGAAGCATATATAAGGTGAATAAAATAGGTCCAAGGACTGAACCTTGTGGAACTCCATGGGTGACTTTGCTCTGCAGAGAGGACTCATCATTTACATGTACAGAGTAGACTGGGTGCGATCTGATAAGTAAGATTTAAACCAGCTTGAAGCAGTTCCTTTTATGGCAATTAAGGGCATAAGTAAGTCTCTGTAGTAAAATATGGTGATCAATTGTATCAAATGCTGCACTTAGATCTAGCAAGACCAATACAGAGACTAGTCCCTTATTTGATGCAGTCAAAAGATCATTAGAGATTTTTACCAGAATTTTCTTTGTACTATAATGCATTCTGAAACCTGGCTGAAATTTTTCTAATAAGTTGATGCGATGCAAAAATTCAGAGAGTTGATTTGCCACAGTTTTTTCAAGGATCTGGGATATGAAGGGAAGGTTAGATATTGGTCTGTGACTGTTTAACTGTTGTTGGATCAAGAGCAGGCTTTTTAAGAAGCGGTTTAATAACCGCTTATTTAAAAAACTGAGGTACATAGCATGTTATCAAGGAAAGGTTGATAATATTTAACAAACTACTGCCAAGTGAGGGCTTTGAGCAGTTTGGTTGGGATGGGTCTGTGAGGCAGGTTGTTGGTTTGGACAAGGACACAACTGAAGTAATTTGGTGAAGGTTGATGGTAGCAAAACAGTCCAAATATCAAGTGAGCTTAGAAGGTGCTTCTGAGAAGACTAAGGGCAGTTTGGCATCCATTGAAGGCAAGAGGTGCTGAATTTTATCTGTAATAACTAATGCATATGTCTAATACCAACGCTTTGAGAAAGCCTGACAAAGCATATATATATATATATAAAACCAGAATTATCCTTTCAGGCATTCAACTATTAAAGTATTTGAAGGTAATTCTTTCTCCAACTGAAAAAATCCCACCACCTCTCTTCAGGGCTCCCTCAAAAGCCACTCCCCCAAAATAACTATTTTCTTTCTCTCTATCATCACCAACAAGTTGCATTTCAGCTCACCTTTTCCCGCTGCCATGTCTAAAGTGTAAACTGCGTGTTCCCTCCAGTCCCTGCTCTTTCTCTCCATAGGAAAGTTACGGCTAAAGGGTCTGAGGTGAAGAGGGCAATAGAAGTCGATAGCCAGACCTTGGTAGTACCCACTGATGTACTATACGCATGCACATACACATCGTTTCAAGTGTGCGGGGATGCACAGCGAGGGGTGAGGTAGCCTGATTGATTGGCTAAGCTGGGGGCCTTGGTTGTGGTAAATGGTGTCCATGACCCTGTTTGATTCAATACACTGCCATCTGGTTTCTCCCATCTAGAAATACTCTCATCCACTCTGAACCCCACACTGTGGATCCTCTTTATTTTACAGACATTTGATTATTTATATGTTTTCCCCCTTAAATTCAGCATATGAAGTATTATAAATGCTGTCCATAAATAAATCAAACAAAGATTGAAAGGTGCATTAGTAGTCATCAAACAATCTTCCTCAGCAGATGGATTTTATATTATAAATGCTACGCCATAAAGTTCTATATGCTTGTGTACCAATATTACAATGTATTGTTGTTGTATTAGGAGATTATCTTAGAGAGTTTTTAGCTCCACACTCTGCTTATTAGCATTATCAAGCCTGTCCTGCTATCTTCATTTTTCACGCAGATTGATTATGGCAAAAATCATGGCAGCATAAGAGTATGAAAAGTACTGACAGTTTAATGAGGTCTTAATGAAAAGAATGCTTTGGATATGTTGTAGTGATAGTAGCAGTCGTTATCTTAAGTTTTCTGCCTGAACTAGCCTGCGGGCTTTGCTTCATGTATGTGCCACTGATTGCTGTTAACACTTTGTCTATACGGGACGCACAGGGACAGCAATATGCCAGCAGCACAACAGCAGCAGCTGCAGTCCTCTGTCAGTGTTTACACTAAAGCTGTTCAGCCAAAATAATGCAGCATTCAGGAGCATTTTGTCAACGCTTAGAGCCCAATGTACAAGTTTGTACTGTACATACACCTATAATGGCAGTATGCCAGTCAGTTCTGTGAGGATGGGTCACCTGAATCTGACCTTTGTTTAAAAAGCTGGCTCCTTTGCACCCATCACGCCAATTACAGTTCATAGTGAAAATTATTATTTACCACTATAAAATATGTTTTTCTCTCCTGGAGGCTTGAACTTTCACTCTCTTATGCCCTACAAGCTTCACACTAACTAATTATGACCAATGAAGAACATTTGATTGCCTTTTTCCACATCTCTTCATAAATGATCATGATCATCTAATGCTTTACCAAGTGAAGTGTCCCAAAGAGCATGAACCATTCAACAGTTATCTGAATAATACTGGTTTGGATTTGGTACATGTTTTGTTGGGAATCTACTTAGTCCAGATTTTGCACCTTCTTTTACACAACAAAATGGATAGACGTTTTTTTATTCTGCAGGTATGGAGTTAAAGGTAGAGACAGGGATTCTACACCTGCGCTCTTATCTTCTTCATTAGCATAATACAGCAGAGACAAAAACAGTCAAAAATAGACATTATAGAAACTTGTTTATACTCTCAACTTCTCTTTGTTATTTTTCCCAGAGACAAGAAGTAACAGCTAGTAGTAAGGCTGAAGTGCTCTACTGCCTCTTAATTGATCGTGCTTCAAAACACGTCAAACCTGACATGGCTGGTGTTATGGCTGGAATATATTTTTAAGTTTAAACATTTAATCAAAAAATTTGTGGCAGGATCATTCAAGGATTCTATGACATTATCAATGAGAAGCTGTAATATTTAAAATTTGATCTATTATTTTGTATACTTATTGTCCTTCAGGCATACTGTTTGTGATGATACTGGTTTCTAAATCTCAACATGAATGCACGTAAAAACAAAATGGTCAGACACTGCTTATATCCAAAGCCATTTACTGAGTAATCAGAAAAGAGATTTAAAATGCAGTGTACGTAGGAAAACATGTGAAAGGAGTACCACCTTTTTTCTAATCTCTCTTTTTACTCCTCTTCTGGTTAAAAATACCAGTGGACTGACAGACAATGAGCTATAAGCACAATGAGACTGTGGCGGAGCCTGCC